AGGTGCCTCGGCCGCGGGACCGGAGGCTGCTCGCTCGCGCTGCTGCCGCCGTCGCCGCCGCCACTACCCGACCTTCCTCTGGACACCCCAGGCCCCTGCTCCCAGAGCAGCAGGGATGGCCGAGGTGTCCGCACCCACAGGCGGCCCTGGGCGCCCGAGGGCGCAAGAAGCGTGAGTGCAGGGCAGTGGCCCAAGCGGAGTGCGGGCACCGGGCGCAGCCCACAGGAGTGACAAATCTCAGAGAAGCACATTATGGGGAAGGGCTCTGGGACATAATAGCAGGTTAATCCCTAGAAGTCTGGGAGAGCTCCGAGCGCTGAGCTGCGCCGCTCTGCGGGCTGGGTTGGAGGCGTGCAGGGACCTGCTTCTGCTTGGGGGGCGGGAGCCAGGCACGGAAAGAGGGAAGGGACCTGGACACTGAGCCTCTGAGAGCCCGAGGTAGGCTCTATCCTGACGTTGGTGTTCCTGGGGCAGGAAGAAACTACTAACAGCCTTCAAAGAAGACAACAGCCGCCACTCACCTCCGTGGCTCTCACCAGAGGAAGAACAGGGTGGTAACCACCGGGGACCTGTCTGTCTCACTTTGACTGGGTCTGCGCTCAGGAGGCTCCCTGAGAAGGGGCAGAAGCTTGCAGAGGGAAGGGGAGGTAAAGGGATGAGCTGCAGTGCACTGGGGTAATAGGCAGGAAGAGGACTGGGACTCCATCCCTCCCCAGTGACACTTCCTCATGCCCCAGGCTTAACCCTGGACCTAGCTCCTCCTGCCCAGAGCTCTGCCCCTAGCAGCTGTGGGCCGACAGTGGGGAGACAAGCCCCAATATTGATCTGAAAAGCATGAGGTGGGAAGGGGGATAGCCGACAGTGTAGCCGGGGTTTCCATGGAGACCGCGGGAGAGGAAAAAATTCTCTCTGCATCAAGACCGAAGAACAAATATCTCCCATGAAATTGCCCCCAGTGTCCAATGGCTGTTGCTATGAGGTCATTGTGGCCGGCCGGGGCCCTGCAGGCTGGAAGGAGTGTGTTCGTTGGGGTCAGAGCCACCCAGGGCTTGGGGGATGGAGGTGATGTGGAATTCTCCCAGCTGTTCAGAGAGCGAGTGACTCCAAGGCATCCCAAAGTGGCTGTGGAGCTTTTGTTTTTCTTGGAGGCTTAATTTGATTAACACTTCAGGAGCAGTGGCAGTGTGTACAGAAACCAGGGCACCACCACCTCCTCCTTCTGCCCCCCTGCAGACTGCCCCTAAGCAGGGCCTGGATCACAGAGCTGTGTTTGGACTTGGGGGAGCCTGGAGTCTCTAGAGCTGGCTCTTAAATACATGGGCTCAGAGCTGGGGTCTCCAGAACAGATCTGAGCAACAGGAAGAACCGGGAGGTGGTCTTCCTGCCCCACACTGACGGCTGTAAGGAGAGAAAAGTGACAATATGAACACATAACTCAGGTCTTCAGGAACATCTCACAATAGACAGGGCTTCAGGACATCTGGCTCCTTCCACTAGAGTCCCTGGGGCCTCTTTCGATTCTTTTATAGATGAGGAAACTGAGGCCCAGGGAGGAAAAGCTACCTGCCAAACTCAGAGTTGAGAACCAAACCCAGGTGTTCTGACTTCCAGGCAGGGACGTCCTACACCTTCCTGAGGCTGCCCCAAAAGAGGTAACCCATGGGGAATTCCAGCAGCTCAGTTCCTGAGCCTACGCCATGGGGGGTGATGAGGAGGGGCAGCCTGGAGGGAGAAGAGGTTGGCAAACCTGTTCTCTGCAACTGTGATGGTTCAGGTTGCCACGAAGCGGGGCTCTGGATGACCCAGCTCACTCCTGCTCCACCCAGGCTTTGAGCCAAGGGTCTCTGCTGAGCCCTGGGCAAAAAGAGCAAGGGGCCTCCCAGGACCCCACACAACCGGAAGGGCTGTGAAGGAGAATACACCCCAGGCACAGCCCCCCACCCCCAAAACCAGGGTTACTGCTATGTATTTATCTTCCTCCATCCCCAGTCAGGGCTTGGAACAGCCCTGGGGGAAATAGGTGTCACAGCATGCCTTACAGGAGCTCAGGGTCTAGCTGAAACGACAGGCTAAAAGCAAAATCATGAATGGGTGGTGGTGTGCACACTACATAGCTCTCAGAGGACAGAGTTGAGCATGAGCAGCAATCACAGAGGGAACTGGCCCTGGAGGCTACAGAATGACATAATAATTATAATCACCCCCACGGTCCTATCTAAATCCTGGCTACATTTAAAATGAGAAGATTGGGGGTCATGGAGGTAGCAGTCGCCCAAAGCCACCTAGCTAGTAAGTGGCAAAGGTGTCTGACCCAAAGCTGCCTCTAGAAGGAACAGCCTCAGGCAGGCAGCTATCCCTCCAGGCATGGTGATAGTGCAGTGTCTTTTCAGAGTCAAGCTAGAGGTCTGGCCCCAAGAGGACGGCTAGCACTGAGGCACAAGGCCTGAGTGTCCTGTCCCCTCCCAGTATCTGGAGACAGGCTTCCATCCAGGGTTGATAGGCTGGCCGGTTGCAGAGCTGGTGCGGTCTATTGTCTCAGGAGGGCGGGTGTCCTGGCAGAGAGGCCAGGTGTCCTGCTATGTGCAGCTGTTGGGTAGGACAGAGCCTGGAGCTGGGAGGGCTCTGCAGCCTGAGGCCTGGGCAAGCCCAGAGAAGCTGGAATCTGTTGATTAGGCTCATGTCTGGCACCAGAAATGAGTTGACAGCTTGTGGCAGCTCCCAAATGGCAAGAGGGCTGCTCAGTCCCTTGGTGGAAGGAAGGTGTGGGCTCTGCCCTCAAAGGACTGCCCTGGCATAGACATGGCTCAGAAATGTTTCTGAATGGCTCCTCTACACAGACAGACACTGCGGCTACACCCAGGAGACCTGGGTTGCAGTCCCAGCTCCATGCCACATGCTGGGCAGCCTTGGCTGGGCCTCTTTCTCCCTCTGGGCCACAATCCATAGCAGTTTTTTCTGAACCCCAAATGGAAGTACTGGGATCAGTAAGGGAATAGACAAGCGCAGGTTTCATTATTGCGGGTTTCTGGGGGAAAGCAGCCGTACCCTGATCAGCACTCCTAGCCAATAGGAGGAGGGAGTCCCTGCAGCACTGTAAGACAGGCCAGTGGAGTGACAGAGAGCTGGGTCCCTGGAAGAGATAGCCTAGAGTCCCATCCCAGCTCTACCACTGCAGTGGAGGGACCTTGGACAGGTGATTCAACCTCTCAGAGCTTCTGTGGCCTCATCTGTAAAATGGTACCCATTGGGACAAATGGTACACAAGGGTGGTTGGGAAGAAAGTGCATGTGTCATGCTGGGCACAGTACCAGGCACGCTGATAGAAATGGTAGCCATGGAAGCTTCTGGAAACTGAAGGCTCTTACCAGTGAGCCACAGAGTTGTCCCTGTCTATAGGGATGATAGAATGGGCCTTTAGGCTGCTCCCTAACTTGTTTATCCCCTACTGTTCTGTCCAGATCCTGTGACCTTACACAGGGAAGAGTGTAGGCCACCACTCCTCTGCTCTTCAGCCAGGGCCCTCAGATCCTGCACACAGCCAGGGACGCCCAGCCTGGCACACAGGCAAACTCTGCTGGCCAGGGGGGTTGTCACTGGGAATACCCTTCAGTGCCAATCGGGGAAGTGAAGGAAGCCACCTTACTGGCTCTGAGTCCCACAAGGATGCATCTTCAGGCCGAGCGCCTGCGCATCTGCTTGCCCAGAGGGGCTGGGTTAACTCCTTTAGCTTCAGGCACTGAGCCTCAGCACTTGGGGCAGCCCCACAAGTGAAGATGTGTCCCTCCCTCCTCTCTAAATAGTAAAAATCTCTATCCTGGGAGCTCCCCCAGTGGCTCTGAGCAGTGAATTACCATCACGAATACATCCATAGCACTTCACAATTTGTACCAGAATTTCTCCCAACCTTGGTACCATTAATATTTAGGGCCAGCTAATTATTTGTTAAGAGTCTATAAGATGTTTAGGGGCACCTTGGGCCTCTACCCATGAGATGCCAGCAGCACACATACTCCCACCTGGTGACAACCAAAATTGTCTGCTGACATTGCCAAATGTGCCGTAGGGAGCAAAAGCACATCCTTATGTTGAGAATGAATGGCTTACAAACCACTTTCACACCCACTATTCTCTTTGAGCCACACATCCTCCCTCCCCCTCGACTTCCAGGAAGGAGTGGGTATGGCTTTCAGCCCCACTTCAGAGGCCCAGAGGGGCAGTGACTTCTCCAAGGAGGCAGGACTTGAACTTGACTTGCTCTCACATGTCCGAGTCTCCGGCTTTCATCCCGTACCGATAGAACGATGTCATGTTATATGTAAGAGCCCAGCAGGGTGGTTCTGCTGCTTTGGGAGGTGGAAGCTAGGGCACGAGGGCTTCTGAGCACCCCCTAGTGCCTGGCACAGGCCTGCCACACAGTGGGTGCTGAGCACCCAGTGGATGAATAAAAGAGGGGCTTGTTCACCTCTAGATGTCAGAGTGGCCATCTTCAAAGACTTCAAGTAGAGGGGAGACTTCCTTCCACTGCCCCAGGGCTCAGGTGATGCTAAAATGTGCCACAGTGGGAATCAGGAAGATGGCTGTCACCCAGCAGATCTGCAGCCCTGCCTCTCCTCCTTGGCCAGGGCAGACGCTCTGAGCCAGGCTGAGCCGTTTTTCACCCCTCCACCAAGCCCCCCTCACCAGGCTCTGCCCTCGGGGTTTGCTCAGGCAGCAGCCACAACCCAGCTGTCTGCTATGGTTTGACTTCTTCCCTCAGCCCTGGATTAGCAATTGAGCAACTCAGCAAGCATCTGACAAGACAGTGCTCCCCAAACCTGTTGAAACTTGCCCAACTCGGGCCCTGTGGGTGCATTTGGAAGGCTGAGCATTTGCACCAAGCTTTCTCCTCTTCTTCCTCCCTCTGGGAGGAGTAGCTTCGGCTGAGCCAAAAGGGAACAGATTGACCAGGGAGTCTCTGGGCCAGGGGTGGGTGACAGCGCCTGCTATTGGCCCCTCTAGTTACCTCTGTACTCACAGCTAGCTTGCAAGGGCCACTGCTGGTTTGCTCAGCAAATGCAGCTGGAAGGTGGAGCTGCGACCCGACCCGCTGTTGCTTTCCAGATTTCCGTAAGAGTTGCCAGGTTTTATCTCTGAGCCCTGAACTGCATCTTCTGTGATTCAGCCAGACCCAGGAGAAGGCTCGCTCCCTGCCGTGACCCCACCAGCTCCCCTTCCCCCCATGTAACCCCTCTCCACCTCCTCCATCTCCCAGCAAACTTGAAAACAAACTTTTTAAAATTCTCCACCAAGCCGAAGCCAAGTCAGAACCCCTGCAGCGGAGAGGACCTGCTCTCCTAAGAGAGAGGAAAGGAGGCAGTTAGAGGAGGGTGGATGCATCCTTGGGAGGGAAGGAAACACACCACGACCACCACCATCACCACCACCACCTCCCGTATTCTTCGAGGGGCCCATTTGTACAGCAGAGAATTACTGATGGCCTAGAGGTTCCTACTGCAACGCTGAAGGGTCCCTTCACTCCTTATTTCTAGCTCTGTTCATGGCACCAGCCCTGTAATCCTCGGATGAGACCCCAGGAAAATTTCCCCCAAAGCTGGAGACAACAAAGTATTCCCCCCTGAATTAGAGGTGCCCTGCTATCCTGGAACCCCAGGCTTGAAGGACAGATCACAGATATCAGGGTCGGGGGAGTTTCCAGGAATGCTGAGCCTCCAGGCAGGGGAATGCGTGTTCCGCTCTCCTCAAACATGTCGGGCACTCACTAGCCTCAGGCACTTTGCAGGGTCACACGGCATATTGATGGTATAGCTGGAGCTCCATCCAGGTCTCTTGACTGTGTTCCCAGAGTGCTACGCACTGCAGACAAGAGCAGATCTGGAGCCCCATTCCCCTAACCAGACATTCTGTAGGAGGTAAGGAGCAACTAGAGCAAGGGAGGAACCAAGGTTTGCCCCCCTGCTCTGGCAGGGATGGGCATGGGGGTCAGCCACAGTATCTGTCAACACTGAACCTTTAGAAGGTCCCTGCGAAGGCCAAGGAACTCACTGGAAATCTGGAACTTCACTCCAGGAAGCTAGCACTGGCTGCAGACAACAGGGCAGCCAGAGTTTCCTTGTCCCACCCGCTCCCCACCCCCAGCCTCCCCCAGCCCAGTCAGGGAGGGCACATCCATGGTTCAGTGGCCATAGGGCATGAAAGGCTCTCTAGGGACGAGGGTTGGGTGGGTCTCTGCAAAGGGGAAGCTCCTGCTGCCAAGTTAGAGGGCAAGGTGAGGTCAGGATGTGCCTTAAACTCGATACCCACTGGCCCCACACTACACCTGCCTCAGGCAGAGAAGGAAAATTCTTACCTCCTGGCATAGCACTGGAGCCATCCAGGCTCAGGTCTGAGTGGCTCCTCCTTTGCCCTGAGACAGCCACCAGCTCCTTGGGGAAAATACAGTGAGACAGGGGTGGGGGGTGGGGGTGCAGGGGCTTCACAAAAGGAAGGGGAGAACCCAGAGCTGCCAGGAGAAGTTTATGGGGCTGAAGCACCAGGATACAGTAAGTCGTGGAAACAGAGAAGCTGAGAGACAGAAATGAGGGTCCCAAGGCTGCTGGGGATGGAGAGAAAAGGGAGTTGGGGTCCTAGGTGACAGAGGGCGGATGAAGGCCCTAAGGCACAGGAGACAGGTGTGGGCCCCATGGAGGAAGTGCACACGGGGCCCAGAGAACTGGGCCTGGACACTGAAGCCTTGGAATCCTGCCAAGGCTGGAAGAAGTGGGACAGAGGTGGCCCTGCTCCACCAGCTACCATGAATGTCTCCAATCCTGCCCCCTTCCCACTGAGTGTCCTCCAGGGCTTTCAGGCCAGTGATAGCACCTCCTTCCAGGACCCCGGCAGCCACAAAGACCACAAGCCAGACCACACTGTCCAGGCAGCCACAGTAGACATCACCCTCCCCGGAATCCCTCCTTCCTGGAAGCACCCAACACCCTCCCTGTGGTTTAGAAGACACAGGGCTCTAAAAAAAAACGCTCCATGGAACAATCAGGCCACCTCACTCAGGTCAGTATCTGGTGATGCCAGCCTCTCCTGCCATCTTTGGAACCTGAGCAGCCAGCCCCCTGCTCAGAAACCAGAATGACTTGTTTTCAAATCCTGCCCACCCTGGCTGGCCACATGGCCTTGAATGTATACTGTTGGGGCTCACCTTCCTCATCTGTAAAGCGGAGGGGAAGACACTGAGTGACCAACCCTGCGTTGCTGTCATAAGGGTATGTTAGGGCCCATGACTGTTGACTGATGGTAAAGGTAACAGAATGGTAATCACCTCCTATTCCCCAAATGGTTTTCACGTCTACTTGCCATGTCTGAGCTTGTCCCAGATGCCAATGCCATGGCCCTTCTCCTGAAAGCACCGTCCCTCACACCCTAGCCCTCAGACAGATGGGTCAGAATCACTAACCCCTTCTCTGATGCCGCAAACTCCACCAGGAGATGCTGTCAACCATCTGCAGTTGGGATGGTGGTGGAAGCCATTCCCCCACTCCCAATGGAAGTGTGTCCCACCCCCAGGTGTACTCAGCCACAGAAAGGTGGGGTCCCAGATCTAATAAGGCACTGAAAGCCCATCCAACAACAAATGAATGGACAGAGCCCAACCAAGGGTGCAGTCTGAGGGGCAGCAGGAGACTTTCATGGAAGGTACCCATCCTAGGCACACTTCATTCATTTAAGCCTCCTGAGATTAGAACTACTACTGCCCCCATTTTATAGATGAACACACTGAGGCTCAGCGATGCTCACTAACTCACCTCAAGTGACAAGGAGACAGGATTCTGATCCAGTACATGTCCTTCCCACACTGCCTGCCATGAGGAAAAATAAGGGTCTCCAAGACCATCCAGGAAATGGCAGGCTACTCAGACCACGGTTAGAGAAACATTCAAAGGTCTGAAATGACGGGGGTGTGGTGAGGATCCTGGGGAACCATAAGAAGTCAGTCCTGGGTGGGGTCTGTGGTCATCCTGCTTCTTCCACCCACCGTGTCCCCCAAGGCAGCTACGCTCAGCAGACACTCAGTTTCCTTCCGCTCTCCCGCCTGCCCACTTGGCCTCCTTCCTCCCTGGTATCACAGGCACAACCACTCCTGAGGAGGCTCTAAATGTGGCCCGGGCAGCAGGGAGGCCAAAGGGAGGGGGCAGAGAGGCCTGGACTGGCATCCCAGCCCCCACCTGGACACTCACAGGGCCAGGGCCCAGGACACTGACCTGCTTGGACTCCCCAGCACTTCTCTTGTTTTGACGGGCAGAGTCAGATCCCAGGAGGAGTCACAGAAGTGGGGATTCTCCTTGAGAAATTTGTATATTTTGTTTTAAAAAGCAAGCAAACCTGGAAAAGCTTGGGACCAGCCCAGCTAATTTTAGTTTCTAATGAAAACAGCAGGTGGCCGAGAGGATCTGATCTCCCTGGCAGGGCCTTGCAGGCTGCAGGCACGGGCGCACAGGGAGGGCCTCTTGGGAGGAGCCTGAAGGACCTGCAGCCCCCATTTGAGACCAGGGCACGAGCTATTGGGCTGGCTGCACAGCAGGGGCAGCCTGGACTGGCAGGGTAACCTGATCAATGGCACGGCCATGGCTGGAGTCCTGCATGGCCAGGGCAGCAGGTGGCAAATTGCTAAGCCTATACTCAGCGGCACCAGGAAGAAGCCTAAAGTAGGGCAGTGCAAGCAACCAGAACAGAAGAAGACAAAGTGATGGTTGGGGCTCCCGTAGGACTCCAGATCGGCAGCAGCCACATCCAACAGGCCCTGGCTTGATATCCCCCAGAACTGGCCTTGCAATCAGTATCTGAGCCCAGCCCAGCTCCAGGGGTAGCGAGTGCCACACATATCTTGGAGGGAAAGGCTGAGCCACCACAGAGGGGACAGGACTCCCAAAGCCCTCAGGACCAGTTGGGCTCAGCCCTCAGCAGGCCCTCATCTTCCCAGACTCCTGTTCTTCCTTGCCAGTAGATAAGCAGAGGTGACCTCATCAGAACAAAGCCATGAACCATTCTGAAAATTCTTGTTTAACTTTTGGTATTGGGAAATTGAACCCTAGGCCTTCATATTAGTCCTTACTAGTCCTTTTTATTCTTTAGTTTGAGACAAGATCTGGCTAAGTTGCCCAGGCAGGACTCAAACTTGCAATCCTCCTATCTCAGCCTCCCAAGGGCTGCAATTACAGGTGTGCACCACTGTGCCTGCCTGCAAGCATTTACTGAACACTTCTACACATGGTACACTGCATGAGGCCTGACATGTTACACAGTAGGATGCCAGCCCCCCAACCATCTAGCAGGGCAGATCCACAACCAGGTACAGGGAAAAGAGGGTTGAGGCAAAGCTGCTTGCTGCTCACTAAGGGACTGTGCAACCTTGCAACTCCTTGAGGGACTTTGTTTCACCTCTGTGGGCTTTGGTCTGCTTGTCTATAAATAATGCCAGGCACCAGCCAGATAGCAGGACAAGCCAATGGGAACCCTGCAGCCCAAGGCCCATGATGCCTGGGGTCCCAACTCTGCAGCCTGTGCGTCTGCTCCCATTTGTCCACCTAGACAAAGCCCTAGGGTCGGGAGGGAAGGGGAGCCTCCCAGGCACAGAAGGGGCAACTGCTGTGCCAGGCAAAGGCAAGGGCTGGCTGGTGGGCAATGGTGCTGCCAGAAGCAGTTTCTCTTCTTCTTCCTGGACACTACCCCAGTGACTCACGGCCATGGCAGCCTAGCAGCTCCCCTATACCCTGCTGTTGTTGGTTCAGCCAGTTTCCCCACTGTGCTCCAAGCCTAGGAGAAGAACGTGTGTTACATTGGGCCCTCCTCTGCCTGGGTAAGGTCTCTATCTACAAGCCTGGCATGGGACCAAGTGGCCTTGGAGGCCTGGACAGTGCTTATATCTCCCAGTAGGAAGACCACAGATTTCAACAGCAAGAAAGGCCATATAGACTTACCTATTTATTGTACCCATGAAGAGACAGGCTCCCAATGGGGAGAAGGCGTGTCCCGGTCACAGTGGGCTGGGGGCTCAGCCAGCCTCCCTAGCCTGCTCCTCCTCCCAGAGAACCTCCACCCGTGAATGCCTTCCTTCACCAGAGGCCAGGGCTCTGCATGGCCAGACCTAGCCCTCTTGTCTGGGCATAGAAGGAACAGAGAGCGACGTGGGGACAGGCCAGTTCTGTGCCCCCATCACAGACAGAATAAAGGCTCCCATCCTGTTCCAAAGTCCAAACCTGGGTGAGAGCAGGAAAAGATCCAATGTTAGACTTCACTCCTGTCCCCCCTCCAAAGGACACCTATGGCCTCCCAAACATGGACCTGGCCCACCGCCAGTAGCTGAGCTCTTGGTGCCCCCTGCAGGCCAAGAGCAACATGTGGGACTGGTTCTGTAGGAGACCCCTTCCCCTAGCAGCTAAAGCAGGGAGCAGCAAAGAGGAGCCCAGGAGCCTGTCATCCCATCACTACCAGATGCACTCTCCTCCTGCCTCTTCTTCCACCCTGTCTCCCCTCCCCAGCCAGGACACTACCAGACTCTGGGCAGGACCTGGTAGAGAGAAACTGGGGGACTGGAGAGAGGCCTTGGGAGACCAGGAATGCAGGGAGGCAAAGGGAAGCTGAACTGCCTGGCTCTGAGGCCACCTCCCTCCCCCTCAGCCACCTGCCGCCAGGAAAGGGAGAGATCGTCGCAGTTACCAGGTTCTTAGCACGTGTTCCATGAGTGCAGACATGCCACCAACCCAATCACATTCATTCCTCACAGCAGCCCTCTAGGGTCAGAGCCACAGCCAGGGGCAAAGGAGACTTGTCCCAGGACTGATGCCACAGTGAGGACAGTGGTGTCCCAGAATGAGGCCCCTTGGGTTCAGAGGAAAAAACCACTAATGCTTCTTAAAACTCCTCTCCAGGGCAGTGGCTTTCCAGCTGAGCCTGGGGACAGGTCCAAAACTCAGATGCACACCAAGCCCCACCTAAAATGGGCCCAGGCACCTGCCCTTTCCACAGACCCCTGCAGATGTTTCTGATGCACAGCCAGATTGGAGAATTATCACTCTGTTCCCACCACATGCCTGACCAATAGAACCTGGCTGCTGTCTGAACACTTCCTGGTATAGGGAGGAGGCTGAGGACACCTTGGCTGATAACTTCAGGCTGAGGGAACCCAGTCCTGGGAGCCTTTGTCCAAACTGTCAGTTCCAGTCCTTGAATCACATAAAAGAAAACTGTCACAAGGCTGTGAAGTCAACAAAATTAGGTTCAAATCCATTCCACCTCTTGCTGGGTATGCAACCTTGCACACAAGGCAAATTACTTGTCTGTGCCTCCATTTCCTTCTCTTTTAAAAGGGGATCCATAGGCTTGCTGAGAGGATTTAAGGCAATGATGTACTTAGCACAGTCCTGATTAGGTTTTGTAATAACAAAACTTAAGCAACCCTTATTACCATCAAGTGTCCTTTTTTTTTTAATGGTACTGGGGATCGAACTCAGGACCTTGTGCTTGCCAGGCAGGCACTTGTGCCACTGAGCTATATCCCCAGCGCCAATTGTACATATTTTAATAGGACTATCTATGTACTTTTTCTTTTCTTTTTTGGTATCAGGAACTGAACTCAGGACCCTGTGCTTGCCAGGCAGGCATTTATGCTGCTTTGCTATATCCCTAGCCCTCTATGTACTTCTTGACTTGGCCAGCATTCATTCGTTTATTCAGTGGCTAGCTCCTGCCTCATTTTCTCAGGCCCTGTGTCAGACTTTACACACAGATCACAGCCCCTGAGGCTAGGGGAGGCAGGCAGGACCAGTGGCAGGGACAGGCAACACCCAGAGCCCCAGTGTAGAAAGAGGAAGGTGAGGCACTGGGCCAGATCTGCATGGCTTCCGTCCCTGTCCTCAGGTACCTGGCCAAGCTGTCCTCAGTGGGGAGCATCTCGGAGGAGGAGACGTGCGAAAAGCTCAAGGGCCTGATCCAGAGGCAGGTACAGATGTGCAAGAGGAACCTGGAGGTGATGGACTCAGTGCGCCGCGGCGCTCAGCTGGCCATCGAGGAGTGCCAGTACCAGTTTCGGAACCGGCGCTGGAACTGCTCCACACTCGATTCCCTGCCTGTCTTTGGCAAGGTGGTGACGCAAGGTGAGGGGGCATACAAGAGCTGCAGGACACCAGGGTGTGGGTCCTGGCCAGGGAATGACACCCTCATGAATGGCCAGAGGAGTCTAAGTCTGAAGCAGAAACAATGCTGGGCCAAAGCAAGGGGATGAAGAAGGCAGCAAGAGCACTGGATAGGTTGATCAGGTGGAGGTGAATCCCAGATGGGACCATCCAAGGAGACTCCTGCTGCCTGGAGTGTGTTCTAGTTCCAGAGCTTGTCTCAGGGGAGTATGAGCAGGAACTACAGTCCTTGTTTTACAGAGGAAAATGAGTTTCAGGAGGGGGACAAGACTGAACTTTCTTGGGGTCCTCAGAGCAGGGGAAAACAGATTCAGGCATCAGACCTGGGCTCCCGACCCTCAGGCCAGTGCTCTTCCCACCTTAGCTTCAGCCCATTTCACTGATTTGCACATCTGACAAGCCCTGAAGAGCACCTCTAGGACGGCCAACCCTGAGACACAGCTCCTGTCCTCTTGGGCACACAGGCTGGTGGGCAGAGAGGAGAGTCAGCAACCATCGCACAACAGGAACAGTGGCTTACACACCTATGGCACCAACAATGGACCAGACACTGCTTAAGTGTTGAAAGTAACAAACTCATTGGCCCTTCTGCGACTCTCACAGGCTTCCATACTGCATATGAGGAAAGTAAGGCACACAGAGGTGAAGTCACTAGCCCAAGACCACAGAACTAGAAAGGTGCAGAGCCAGGACTTGAACCCAGGCATCCTGCTGCAGGGTCTGTATTCTTCTTACTCATGACACACAGGACAGGAAGTTGAAAACCTCCCCTGGGTAGGGCTGGCGCTTCCCAAGAAGGTAGGTTCTTCATTGAGACCAGAAATGTGAGGGGGTACTAAGCCAGAGAGAGGAGCCAGGGTGCAGAGAAGCTTCTGTCAAACTGAGGGTTCCTTGAGAGGCACCACTTCAAGGAAGCGCTCTCATAGCTGCCTCTTTTTCTTTTGCCTGAGCATGAGGCTGACACTTCTCAGCAACCCACAGTCGACAGGACCCTCGACTTCCTCAGGCTGCAGGAAGGGGTTGCCTGGGCCAACCTTTGTCTTGGCACCTAAGCACCTGGATAACCAGGGTTGCTGGGCTAGTGGCAAACCATTTGGATGTTGCTGGAAACCAACTGTGAGAGAAATTTGGAAGCCATTCTCCTGTGAGCTGGTAGGGGCCAAAAAGATACGATCATGCTTGGCACTGCTGAACATTACTGCTCTGGAAAAGCAGCAGAGACCCAGCGAGCATTCTGGCAGCAGAGAATCTCCTGGCATGAAGGTGTCACTGCCCAGGACCCAATGATGCCAGGCTAGTGAGGCCTAGGAGCCAGCCTCATATAGAGTAGACCTTGACCTTAGAAACTCCCTTGCCACCATGGGTATTCAAGGAGTGTGTTTTGGACAGCGTGGTGGATATATCCACAGGTTTCACATGCCAGGTGTGTCAAACCTCTTCTCAACCAGTTCTCTCTGGGCCATTCCCTCTGGGCTCTTTGTCTATACTTGGGTGGGAGGGTTGTCCTCTTTTTTTATAACTTTCTAAATACCATTTCAAACTTATAGAGAAGTTAGGAATTCCTGTGTATGTTGTTAGACTTATCAACTGCTTACATTTAACCCATTTGCCTATCATATATACATATATATGTATACACACATACATATTTTGGCCCCAAACACCTGTGTTCACACTGCTTCAATGCACCTTTCAGACTGAAGAGTGATATCTCCCTGCCTGGCTCCCACTCGTCCATCACAGAGTCCTCAGGTCATCCAGGGTGAGGGTGACAGCTCATTTACCTGTTTCCTGGCACGCAGCCAAGCCTGGCATAGACAGTCAGTGGATGTCATCTAATAATGGAAAGCAAGTTGGGGAAAAGACTTGAAGGGGCAAAGGTGAAGCATATGTCAGTACTGGCCAGAAGTCAGCAGAGGTCCTCAGGACCCCATCGGGAGTGCCCTCCTCACCTGTGGGCAGAAGGGACCTAGCCCTGGTCAGCTAGTTCTGGGGACAGAAGAACACTGCCAGGCCTGTGGAAGCTGCTCTGGACCAAAGCTTGTTCAAGTGACTGGTCCCCTTGGAGCTAAGATCAGGCTGGCCACAGCAGACAAGTGCCAGTCACATTTGGGAGACAAATCTGAGGTCTTCCACTCACCAAACACCTCCCTTTTGTATCTGGTTTTCTTCCATGGAAAAATTCCTCTTGGAACTTTAAATGGTCCCCACTGAGCAAGAGGAAAAGGGATTTGTCCATCTCCAGATTGAGAGCAAAGCAAAGCCAGGGACTACTGACCAGACAGCATAGGCAAGCAGACTTTGGGCAGGTGACTTCATTTCTGAGCCTCAGGATCCACACCTGCCACAGGCTTACCTCATAGGGCTATTACCAAGATTCAGTGACACAATGCGTGGGAAGTCCTTCATATATGCCCTATGCCCTGACCCAAGAAGAGTGACCTGTCCTTACCAGTGGCTGCCATCTGCAACAACTGCCAGTCTGGACAGGCCTCTTGTCCTGCCACTCTGAGAAGTGGGGGTCCTGGCAGGCGGCTGCATATATGAGCAGCCTGGCTGGGGTCATGGCCTTATGCACAAAAAAGGTAGCCCTAACAGATTCCACCCTGGATAAAAAAAAAAAAAAAAGAAAAAAAAAAAGAACCTCCATTTGTTAAGAGCCTATAGTGTGCTCTCTTGCCTCAGATCATTCTTGTGATGGCTCTGAGCCTGTGATGTGGTTCCCGTGTCCCAGCTGAGGAGGGACTCTTAGGGAGCAGAAGGTGGTACTGCACCTAGGTCCTGGACCTACCCGCTCTTTGCCATGAGATCTTGGGCAAGGTCTATACCCTCTACAAACCACAGTATCCTCTTTCCTATAAAATGAGGACATACTGGGTGTGGTGGTACATGCCTGTGATCCAGCACTCGGGAGGCTGAGGTAGAAGGATCACTGCAAATTCAAAGCCAGCCTGGGCTACAAAGTGAGTTCAAGGCCAGCCTTCAGAGAGATGATGCCTATCAAGGGCTGCCTGACTTCCACAGTGCTGGAGGTGAAGGATACAGTCTCCTATTGTCAGCACTGCGCAAAGTCTCACAGTCCCCAAACCCCCAAGCAGTGCAGGCAACCCCTACTCATGGCCTACACAGAGGATAGATGGAGAAAGAGTGAAAGGGAACGGTCCTGAGTTTTGATTCCCAGTACCAAAAAAAAAGTGATAAATGATTAGGCCAGTATGTAATTTAAGGCCAAGCTATGTGCTCTAGGCTGAAAAAACTACCAGCAACTTGATAAAGATGGTGTTCATGGCAGGCAGGAAAGCAAGAATGTGGCGGTTCTTCGCTCAGGAGACATTAAGAGCCAGATGAGGGATGTCTCCTGTCTTACAGTACCTACACACACTGCGTATCAGTAAGCACATGCTGCGTGAATGGAAAGGTCTGAGGATGAGAGGGAGGCGGTGGAACTTGGCAGAGTTGTACTGGGTCTCAAGGTGGGCCAGCCTGAGCAAGGTGGGGAGAACAGTAAAGGTGAGTCATGCTTTCCTCCATTGGACAATGCCAAGCCTCCTCCTGCCACTATCACTTCTGGCAGTGACCTTGATCAAGTTCCAGGGCTTGAGCCGGAGGCCCCTGCAGGCTCTGACTGCTATGGCTAGGAGGCAGTGTGGTGTACTGGCTGTAGCAAAGTGAGGTTCAAATCCAGGCCCATGTGTCACCCCCATCTATATCACCTTCCTGACCATCTCAGCAGGCTGGACTTAAGTAAATCCTCCTCAGTTCCAGGTGGAGCCTCACAAAAACCTGTGCTCTCTTGCTTCTATCCGTAGTATTGGTATCATGTTGGACCAGGAAGGTAGGAACACTCTCTTCTTCCCAGAGACCTCTCTGGCCAGCCTTTCAAAGCCATCAGATAAATTGTAACTCTGAGGAAGATGTACTCCAAAAACACTCCTGACTGGGAGTTCTTGCAGGCTGCAGAGGCCACACAAACACAAGACAAGTGCAAGATAGAACTGCCCAGCTGGGCGTGGTGGTGCACGCCTGTAACCCCAGCATTTGGGAGGCTGAGGCAGAGGATTGCCATGAGTTTGAGGCCAGCCTGGGCCAGAAAGTGAGGAGTTCAAGGCCAGCCTGAACTGCCTAGTGAAACCCTGCCTCAAAAGACCCAGAGAGAGAGAGAGAGAGAGACAGACAGACAGACAGACAGACAGAGACACAGAGAGAGAGACAGAGAGAGACAGAGACAGAGACAGAGACAGAGACAGAGACAGAGAAAGAGAAGAAAGATAAAACCATACATGATCTGATTCTGGTAACACAGGGTAGGCTGGCCAGCTAGAGACTCTAGAGTCCCAGGAAGACATGACAGTGGGATGGAATACAGGGGGCACATGAGGGCCTGGCCTGCTGAGGTAGCACTACTATCTCCATGGTACAACTGAGGAGTCCAGACTCAGGAAAGTCGCATCACAAATGAGCGATGGCTTTGTCTGGCCCAAAGACTTTTCCTGTTTCCTCATCCTACACTCTCTCTTAAACCCAGAGGCTTCCTCAAAATGGTTTTCCTCAGACCAGTTTGTCTGTCCCTTCTTCCCTTGGATTCCCACTGCCCAGGGCATCAGCAGCCCTTGGCTTCCTTGCTGGTCCAACTCAGTTTTAGCTGGTTCTCCCCTGAACACTCTGCCTTCCGAATGTCCTTCCTTCCAACATCTGGGCAGACACTCATGTGCTCCACAGAGCCCAAACCTAGAGTCAGGTGGTCTCAGTTCCAGTTCCCACTTGGCCATTCACTGCTGAGGGACCAGGCAAGCCACTGGGCTGCACATTTTTTATCTTCAGAGCAGGGCTGGAGAGTGCTGATTGCTAAGGTTGTCATGGGCCCTGGCCAGCATGCGGAAAGGCCCTGGCATGCAATCCCTCCCACAGAAAGAACTATTAGATATGCAGGATCCTTCTGCATCCCCAGCCCCAGGCAGACTCAGTCCCTTGGAAGAGGTGACATTAAGGCCGGACCCAGAGGACTCAGACCTGGTGTCAGGACAGGGGGCTCTGGGAAGCAATCACAGTAGACAGAAGCTGGGTATAACACAAAAGTAAATGGCTGTAAAAGAAAAGAAGGCTGCAGGCTAGAGCTGGAACCTGAGGGCTCTGCCTTACCCAGGCCTAGGAGAGGACAAAGCAAAGATGTACACCTCCTGCAGCAGCAATAGGCACAGCATCTGCCACTTCACTGGGGAATCCCCACTCCTGCACTCCTGTACCCCAATGCCTTTTCTAGATCTGAATAGCCTCTGGGGAGAGTAGCCCTGTTAGGATTTCCACTAGCACACAGGGCTCCAACCTGGTTCTCTGGGCAGAGGTGAAGAGGTACCAGAGGCTACAGCACTGGAGCTGAAGGCTGGAGGAGCCATGCCATAGGCTTCAGGCACAGCAGCATAACCATACCTTCCAGGCCAACTGCTCACCACACCCTGGTAAAAACCCCATGAGAAACCTGGGCTTATCCTACAGTACATGAGATTTTGCGCAGACCCAAGGAAACCCTCCTTGGCTTCATACACAGGAGGTGCAAGGAAATGAAGTGCATGTGTATTTCCAGAACCTAAGGCCTCTGTGGGACTCAACAATGTCAAGAAGCAAGCTCTGGAGCCAGGATGCCCTGAGTTCAACTTCTGGCTTCACCACCTCCTGGCTGGGTACTGTGGACAAGGCACTACTCAATGCCTGTTTCTTCATCTGTAAAAGGAGGGTTAAAAGGATCTACTTCCTAGAGTTGTTGTGCAGAGTATATAAAAGAATATAGGTGAAGTGCTTAGTGTACACAGTAAGTTCTCTGAAGTTCTCTTTAGCTTTTGCCATTACCTTCTCGCCAGAGTTTCTTCCTTCAAGGCTACTCTCAAGTTTAGGATTTGGTACATTTTCCCCTCTGAGGACAGGGCAAGGGAACCTGGGGCCCCAGCCAATGGATGACGGTTCAGAGAATGAAGCACCCGTCTCCTGAACAACCTCACAGGGAGACCTGCATCCCAAGGACCACTAACACTTAGGAACAGAGGTCAGCCCAGAGCTGGGGTTCAGCCAGGAGTTGCCTGAGAGCCAAAAGAACCACAGGAGGAAGGACCATGAAAGGCCAAGGGCTGAAGTCCCATCATCCCCATCTCCTACTCTGATTTCCCTTCCCCTTTGGTCTTTGGGGCAAAGATTTGTGCTGGTTCAGGCCTGGAAATACCAGAAATACCAAAAACTGAAGTCGTCTCTCTTCGGGCTGCCACAGCATAAAACCAACCAACATGATCCTGCTATTAACCTCAGTTAACTTGGAGAAGATTCCATCTTAGGCTGTCAAGGCTCCATTGCTCCAGCCAAGGCTCCCTAATGCTGGCCCAAAATGCCAAAGCTAGGGCAGAGAGTGGGCAGTGGAGAGGGTGGTATGGGTACCCCCAGCTCAAGGACTACACCAAGAACAGGCCGTCCTGAGTGGTTGGGGCTGAGCTGCCTCTCCCCCAAGCGCTCAGCTTGTTCTGCCTCTGTATACAGACACAGGGACACAGGAGGGATTGTTTCTCTCTGACCACGGTGACTGCTCCCTGAGGCAGCTGGGAGTACAGACCTGGGTGTCACAGAGGTAACTGCCAACCACAGGACCAAAGCCTAACCCGCCACTCATGGACACAGACCCTCTAGCCAGAGACAGAAGGACAGTCACAGCACACAGAAGCCCTCACAGGGCCTAGAAGAGGAGCAGAGCCTACTGTCTGGTCGCATACCCAGCCGACCAAGCGCATGCTGCTCACACACTACCCCACCTCACCCCTAGAAAGACACTTCTGCAGCTACAGCACAGCTCCTAGGATAAAAACATCTATTCAGGGAGGGAAGAGGGCCGGCACCAAAATAGAATTGCAGAGCAGTCATGGTTAAAGGAGGCAGGCAGACTTTACTGGAGTACTGGTCCTGCAGCCTCCTGGCTGTGTAACCAGAACCAAATCCTTCTACCCCTCAGTGAGACGGGTACAGATAAAAGTTGGTGGGGGTGGAGGGCACCCAATCATCAGTAGGAGGAGTTAAGTACTAGAGCTGTTGCTATTATGGTTTAAAGTCGTAAGAAGGCAAGACACATTCAGCAACGGCCCCAGCCTCTGAGAAAGGGCCAGGCAAGGTCATCAGGGCAGCCCCTCAGAGCCCAAAGGAACCGGGTGGGGAACAGGCCTAAAGGGAGCCAGATCTGGGGTTGCAGTCCAGGTCTGCAGTTGCACATCTCTGTAGCATTGGTAAATCAGCCCACCTCACCAAACTGCTTTGTCTTCAATAAAAATGTCATGACCACCACTCGTCTTCAGAACTTGTGAGAACAGTGACCCATGGGAACTGAGAGCACAGGCCCTGAAGCCAGGCCATCTGCTGGCTCAGCCACATGCTCCATGACAAAACACCTCACCTCTCTAAGATGGTGTGACAGGACTTGCCTGGTAGGGCTGCTGGGAGGATAAGCTGGTCCACACAAATGGAGTAGGCAGTGCTGGGGGCACAGTGAGATCCACTCCACCCTGTGCCTGGCTCACTCATTTGCCTCCAACATTCAGCAGGCCCCTTGTGTCCCTACTTCTCCACAAAAGACCCAGTCCTACCCTCCCTCTGCCTCCCACAGGGACTCGGGAGGCGGCCTTTGTGTATGCCATCTCTTCAGCAGGTGTGGCCTTTGCAGTAACACGGGCGTGTAGCAGTGGGGAGCTGGAAAAGTGTGGCTGTGACCGGACGGTACATGGGGTCAGCCCTCAGGGTAAGAGCAGGAGTGGTAAGAAGGGAGGGCAGGGTCCTGGGGTCCTGGCCCACACACACTGTGGCCCTCTCTTTGCTCTCTGCACCTCAGGCTTCCAGTGGTCAGGATGCTCGGACAACATTGCCTATGGTGTAGCCTTCTCACAGTCGTTTGTGGATGTGCGGGAAAGAAGCAAGGGGGCCTCATCCAGCCGGGCCCTCATGAACCTCCACAACAACGAGGCTGGAAGGAAGGTAGTGTGCACCACCCCCAGCCCTCAGCACCAAGGTATGAGCAGCAGGCAGGGTCCCAGAAACATTCCCTGCCACACAGCCCTTAGAAGTGTCATTTGGGCCCTCACCAGCACCACATACCTCCCTAGGTCAGTGACGTATGGAACAGGACAGGGTGGGATGAAGGTGTAACATAGCCAGCATACATGGTCCCATCTATACATGTATATGTGCATGTGTGTGCACACCCCAAACAAGTAGCACAGCTGGGAGGTAACCCTGTCACCCATAGGTCATGTGCTTTACTGTGACACCTTCTGCCTTCTCTGTCTACTCCTGAGGGTCCCATGATGGTTACGTGCCGAGGATTTCTCCCCATCACAGCACCTCTCACTAACTGTTGGGTATAACACTGCCCCTTAGTGGCAGTCCTCTAAGTGCCCAAATGCCAGAACAGCAGCATCTTGTTCATCTGTCCCAAGCACTGCTTACCAGCCCAGCACAGCATACAGTAGGTGTTTAACACAGAGGAAGCGTGACAGTGAACCCTTCTGACTCTGCAGCACAAGCCCCTAGAGACCCCAATTCTGTTGTCCCACCCCAACCCAGGAGCCCCTCCACAGCTTCCACTGATGGCAGCTCTCCCCACCCCTCCCCACAGGCCATCCTGTCCCACATGCGGGTGGAGTGCAAGTGCCACGGGGTATCAGGCTCCTGTGAGGTAAAGACGTGCTGGCGAGCTGTGCCGCCCTTCCGCCAGGTGGGCCACGCACTGAAGGAGAAATTCGACGGTGCCACTGAGGTGGAGCCACGCCGTGTGGGCTCTTCCAGGGCACTGGTACCACGCAATGCGCAGTTCAAGCCGCATACGGACGAGGACTTGGTGTACTTGGAGCCCAGCCCAGATTTCTGTGAGCAGGACATACGCAGCGGTGTGCTGGGCACCAGGGGCCGCACATGCAACAAGACATCCAAGGCCATTGATGGCTGTGAGCTGCTGTGCTGTGGCCGCGGCTTCCACACGGCTCAGGTAGAGCTGGCTGAACGCTGCAGCTGCAAATTCCACTGGTGCTGCTTCGTCAAGTGCCGGCAATGCCAGCGGCTTGTAGAATTGCACACGTGCCGGTGACTGCACACAGCCTGTGCCAACAACCATCTAAGTGGCCCAGGGAAGGCCAGTAATTTAAAGTCTCCCACCACCTATCCCCCCAGAGATACTGGTTGTATTTTTTGTTTTGGTTTGGTTTTTGGGTCCTCATGTTATTTATTGCCAAAACCAGGCAGGCAACCCCAAGGGCACTAACTGGGGCTTCCCTAAAGCCTGAGCCTTTCTGGCTGCCACTGACCAAAGGGCCTTTGCTTATGCCTCTGGCTGTTCACAGATGATCATAGCTGACCACTCATTTGTTATCTGTGTCCATTTTTCTACTTTCAGATGTAATGTGGGTAATGAGGAACGTTAACAGCCACAGGGCTACTGATGCTGCCATCTAGGGACACAAGTAACGTTATGGCAGGGAAAGTAAGTACAATCTTGATGGAAATCACACTGCCTGGAAAAAAGAGCTCACACTCTTCACCCCACACATACACAGGGTCCCAACGTGAACCTGTAGCCTTGTCTCCCACTCCTGGAAAGAGAATGGGCAGTTTCCAGGGCAAAGGTGAAGGGTTCATTTCTGTCCTCACATGGGCAGGTGGATATTCAACCTCTGTGAGGCCTTCCAAGCAGGAAGTGCAGGTGAAGTTCAGACAAAAGAAGGCTACACTACAGTCCTGCCCTGGAGCCCAGCCGGCTCCAGCTTGACCCCTCTGGAGGGGAAACTCCCCACCCCCTAGGCCCTCCTGGGCAGGTTTAGGCTGCCATCCTGGATCAGACCTGCCCTGGGCCTTTGCAGTCATGTCCCTGTGTGCATCATCCCCATAGGGCTGTCCTCACTGAAAGTGAAAATGGAAATCTCAAGATCTTACACATACCACAGGACAGGGCCATGCAGTGAAAGTCTTCACCATCTCACTAAAACAATTTATCCACAAATACTGAGTCCCAGGCCCTGCACTAAGGCATTTGCTGGCCTCTCTGCCACTCCTTCTTGGCTCCTGTATCCAAAAGCACGGACACTGCAGGTCTCCTTGGGTCTTATCTGTGGGAATAGAGTTCTGGCTGGAAGAAAAAGGACAAGGAAGAAGCAGGAGCCAGAGACCACAGGCTGGGCTGGAACCCATGTGGTGGCTGAGGAAGAGCAGGCTCTGAGGCAGAGCTGAACAGCTAGAAGGCTGACTAGTAAGGTCTCAGCAGCTGAGATACTACATCCCACGGCCTCCAGGTACCGCAAGTATTGCAAAAGATTCCCTGAGACACTAGCAGCCAAGACCTGATCCTGTGCAGCAGCCAAAACAGGTACCCAGCAGACTTCCCTGAACAAGACACACAAAAACTCAACTGCTTCTCTGCCGGGCTCCCAACCACCAGAGCACTGTCAGCTTGGTCTCTAAGCTACAGGTCTGAGGGCTTGAGCTCTGGGGGAGTCCCCATTTGGTCTAACCTCTTGTATCCTGGTTCACCGTCTCAATACAAATTCCCAGATTTGGCACAGGGGCTCAGGCCTACAGAAACTCTCCTCCAGGCTCTGTGGTTTATGCCTCTGGTGTTGGCTCTGTCATGAAGAGGGTCAACACCCTTGGCCCCCAGCCACGCTCTCTGCTCAATGTCCATCCAAGGAGGAGGCCAAAACCAAGTGAGATGCTGCAGCCACATTCAAATGTGGGGATAATCTTGGCACAGGCTGGCTCTGATGTGGATGAAAGCTGAGCTGACCAAGGGTTCCCACAGCTGCCCAGCTGGGCCTATTACTCCTCTGGTGGACTTGGTACAGCTGCCTGCTCCATGCCAGGGAAAACACTATCCCTCACTGACAGAGCCAGACACAGACAAGTGACCACTAGAGACCACCCCCTCCACAGGCACAGTTGAGCCACTCTCCCCTACCCAGAGAAGCAGTCCAAGCTGCTTGGTGGTTTGATGGGCACTGCCCTAGGAAATAGGGAGAAGGTATGTGCCTGATCATAGGCTTCACAGTCCCACCTGCCAGGGAGTGCCTCAAAGCAGATCAGTCCTCCTGGGGTTCTGAAGGTTGGGGGTCTAGGTCAATCAAACCACATTCTAGGAACCAATACTGAGGCCTATGGGTATAGCCAGTACTGCCAAGGCCAATGGAATCCACAGCCACAGAAAAAAGCTACATGCTCAGCTGCAAACTATCTTAAATTAAAAAAATAATAGTAACTGGCCAAAGTATGGCATACCCTGTCCTCTCTTGCCTGCACACAGGTCTGGAAACTGGCCAGAACTGTTCCCCACTATTCCTGTCCCAAGGCAAAAGTGAGGTCCTCTGAGGCCTAGGGCTGGATAAACCCTAACTCTGGATGCTGCTACCCATTCTGCTACCCTATCCCATCCTCCAACTTTTATACTAGGCTTCTTGCCATTGTGACATCCCTATGACATAGTCTGATGCACGATAAAATGATTATTTCTTTATCTGGCAATTGTGACAGTGACTTTTTTCTTTTTTAAAAAAAACAGATTAGGAAGGCAGACTTGGAGAAGGATATAGGAAAAGCAATTAAATACCAAATGCTATAGATATGAGAGCCCCCTTTGCCTTTGGTTCTTCTGAAGAGCATGTTTAAGGCCCACTGCTATCTGAAAATCCATTAACTAAACACATAGTGGTTCTGTCTCCATTTCACTGAGCCATGGCCAGCTATTTAAACCTTAGCCTGAATAAGGTGATTAGAACTTTAATGAGTATCGATCTGGAGAGGATCTGACGAATGGGTGCTGACACAGGTGGTAGGGGGACAATGGAACTTAGCTCTTCAGTGAAACAAAGGAATCTAAGGCCTGTGGCTACAAGTAAACTCCAGAATTAGAACCAGTCAGGGTCCAGAGATGGAACTGAGAACTTCATACAACTCAAATAAAAGCCCCAGCTCAAGAGGCTCCCTGTTGATGAGGAGACCTAGTAGCTCCTCAGGATCCCCTATTCAGCTGAAGTCCTCATCCTTACAAAGGGAGCCCAGATCAGAAGCAGGGGGCCTGTCCTTCACCTGCACTAAAGGTGTGAAGACTAGAGACCACTTGGGAGCAGTTACGCCGTAGGCTTGACTTTCCAAAAGCTTAGCGAGGTAAAAGGTTGAAGGAAAGTGCTTTCAGGACAGTAGGATATGCACCCATTTGTGAAGAACTGGGGGGATGGGGCCTGGGGTAGGGATGGATAAAAATCCTCAAATGAAGGTAGAAGGCAGAAAGAGAGGCTTGGGATATAGCAAATCCAAGATAGTGGAGCACGGAAGTCAATGTGTCCAGAGCCAGCCATTTTCTAGAACTGTGAAAAGGTCCCAGGTCTTGAAACCAAACAAGCTATGTTTGTATCCCACCACGGTCCGTTCTTCACTACATGGAACCTCAGATAATTCACCCTCTGCTCTGAGACTCATTTCCTTATCTGTAATGTGCGACTGCCCCACCACCACCACATACACTAAATGGGGCTCAGCAATAGAATCCATTTCTTGGAGACATTAAGTAAGGCAATATATATAAAGCTCAATAAATGGCAACTCTGATTACAAATATTCCTTTCCCAGGAACAAATGACAGTTAAGGTAGTTACAAGATTGAGGGGCTGAAAGAGGGAATGAAATAAGAGAAAGAGACAATGTGGAACAGGTTAGGGACTAAGGCAGGCACCCTGAACTTGACCATACCCTGGAGATCAGAAGCAGGAGATCTCCGAGGGTAGAAAGCTCACAGAGGAGCAGGACAAAGCTTCCTCTAAGGCACTAGCTGGAGGGACTATGCTGAGGTTACACTATGGGCAAGAAGCAGGAGGAGGCCAGGGAGCTGAGTCAAAGAACTCAGCTCAGTCAGAAGTGGAGGTGGAAGCCACAGAGCTGCAAGATGGGCTCGGGGTAGGCCCTGAGGACTCCACCTGTGGGATGGATGGATGGCTTTCAGCCCCTCAGGCTGGGTCAGCTGGCAGAGAGGTTGTGTCCAGACTCTATCCTGAGCAGCTGCTACCCTCTGAGGCCAGGGAGAGTTGGAAAAATGCAATGATTGAGGTGGACCACCACCACCACGCAGTGCCCTCTGCCTGTTCCTGACAACAAGCAGTCCCCAGGAAGTACAGAGGCACCAGAGGCAGGCTTAAGGTCATTCAGAGGCCAACCAAAGGCAAGAACAGAGGACAACAGGGTAGAAGGGAAGTGAAGGAGCAGGGTAACGGGTCAGAGGCTAAAACTTGAGTGAGGAAAAGGCAGAGGGAAGGAGAACAGATAGGAATATAGGGAGACAAATGAGAAAGTACTAAGGCTGAGGTGAGCCCAGCAGCTTCCTAATAAGAGGAGAAAGTGCAGAGCTTCAGAAGGTATCTGATGCAGGAGGGGGTGGGGTCAGCTAAGGATGTGAGGGAGGGGTACAGAGCGTCCCTGGCCTGGCCCAGGCGATGACTTCACAGGGATCTCTCCCATTTCTTCCTAAGCCGCCAGTCCTGGTGACCCCCTGCCCGAATCTCAAGGGTCTAGGCTAAGCAGGCACTGACGGGAGAGAAGGGGCCCTTCTGAGCCAGTTCCCCAAGGCTGGCACAGTGCCTGCTGAGGGAGGAGGGGACTAGAGACCCAGCCCTTGTCAGCATCCCGGCCGGCACTTCGGAGGCAATTAGCAGCCCAGCTGAGCTAATCCCCCGCCTGGCTAGGCCAACACAAACAGGCCCAAGCCGGGTGCACACTTGCCTCCCTGTTTGCTGAAGGGCCCAGTGGTCCGCCAAGAACAACACCAGTAACCCAGGGCCTTCTCTAGGTTAAGAGTGGGACCAGGGCTTGCTGAAGAGCTGACAGTGCCCGACAGCACACTCTGGACAGGCGCCCTGGCTGCCCCAGAAAGGCAGCCACTATTCTTAAAGCATGGGCCAGTGGGAAGAGAAAGCTAGACACAAGAAGCCATGTATTCTGATTCAACACACACTCCCACCTCCAGCAGGCCACCTGTGAGAGAAAGGCTTGCCACTTTGGCCAGCCCAGCTGAGTCCAGGAGAGGTAGGTCCTGTGGCCAGAGCCCAAGAACACAGGATCCATGCTGGATGTGGGAGTCAAGAAGCAATTCAGATTTGGCTCTTGCCCTCAAAGAGCTCACAGTCTATCGAGGAAAGAGATTATGTGACCCAGAAGTTGGGTCAGAATCTAGCCCCAATAAACTCGACAAAGCTGCAGTAGAGCCTCCAAGCAGAGAAGGCAAAGGGAACCCACGAGAAGAAACAAACCAAGGCCCCCAGACTGACAAATGGGGTAGATGGGTACCAAAGGAAAGACCTAGGACAAGTTTTGCCACAAAGCAGTCCTGGACCAAGAAGTAGACAGCCAGGACACCCTTCATAGGCACCTCCACTTCTGATCTGCAGGCCAATCCTACCCTCATCAGCCCTGGGCCTAGAGTATGTTTTTTAAGAACCAAACTCTCCACCCTCAGTTTGGTCCCTCCACTACCGTGAGACTCCTTTCTCCTCAATCTCCAAGTCCTCGCAGTTCTGCCGAGAACAAAGGCCACAAACAGACTTTGCAGTAGATCAGCTCTTCAGAGCTTCCACTTGAGGAAGCATCTGTCATGGCCTCCCTGTGTGGGACTCTGTCCATCAGCTGTACTCGGCACCACCACCACTACAGAGACCTCACTGATCACAACCTCATATCAGCATCATCTCATGCCCTGGGCACCGGCAAGTAACTGAACACAAATATTCCCTACCGGGCTAAGCTGAAAGGTAGATACATGATTTATCTGTAGTTCAGGGAGAAGACTGAGCCCCACGGAAGGAAAGAGACATGCCAGGGCTTTAAGCTTCTAGTCAGGATGCAGTTGTCATAAGGGGCCCTCCCTACTCCACAAGCTCCCTGCCTCACATACTTCCAGCCTAGACCAGCCTTTGGTGCTGACTGGCCAGAGAGCCACAGAAACCCAAGCCAACCTTCTCCTCACAAAATAGTATCATCTGTCCCTGGCTGGACTGAGCTAAACTCTGACATGCTACTGGGACCTACATATTACTCTCCAGACAGCTTTCTCTTTAGGCCCAAAGGGTAAGGCAGGCTGGAGTTGACTGCCAGAGCTGACAAAGTCATAGCAGCGAACAGCAGCCCTCCCCACCGCCCTGCTGCAGCCGGTGCGGCAAAAGACTTCAGGCCCAGGTCCAAGCCTGCCAGATAGGCTGTCAGGTTTCTGCCCACAGTACAAAGAGGCTGACAACCCATGGTCCAAACTCCTTACAGTCTGCTTCACACCTGGCTCTAGGACATCTAGCCTGGACCAAGGTATAGATGAGATGATAAATCCTTTTCCCCTTTAGTTCAGCCCAACGTGAAGGTATTTTTTTTAAAGGTATTTTACCAGAACACTGGAAAAAAAAACCCAGAAAGATCATAAGCACACAGAAACAAGCAGTTTCAGGCCGGGGATTTAGCTTCGTAGCACGGTGCCTGCCTGGCAAGCAGGAGATCATGAGTTTGATTCCCGGTACCAAAAAAAAAAAAGAAAAAGGAAAAGAAATAAGCAGTTTCCTAAGCAGGACTTTGACCAGAACCCAATCAGAACCCTACAGAAGCATCTTCCTCCACCCCTCATCCCTTGGTCAGTCTCCTTTCTCTCATCGGGAGATCTGGGGTCTCATTCTAACTCCACTGCTGACAGCCTGAAAAAATCTAAAGCAAGTCAATAAACTTCTCAATCTCATCTGTAAAACAGAGATGAAGATAATACAGGGCCAGGTCTGGATTACTCAGCTCTACAAAGCTCGCCACCCCTACCCACCTCTGTGGCTGTGGGAAGACTAGGTGAAACACTGCTGTGGACATCCTCTGTGGATTCAGAAGCACAGTCAGGGAAGGTGATGGTAGTCATTGGCCAGCACCTGCCTTTCCCTTAAGAGTGAGGACAAATGTGTTTTGCGAATAGCAACTACAGGTTCCTGGTGTAGGTTTAGCTCACATGAGGGTCTGCTGGGTCGCCTTTCTCTTTGGAGTCCTTCTATCCCTCTTCCTCCCAGCACCTCTTGCAGCCTGGGCCTCTTCCCCCACCCCCTTCTTGGACAGCAGCTGGAGCCACCTGGAAAGTTTCAGGAATGGCTGATGGTTATCATAGCTAGGACAGGGCGAGTGGCTGCCCCTCAGATTTATCATGGAGCTGGAGTGGATCCAGAGAAGTGACCAAGAGGATGTAGGACTGCTGCTATGAACTCAAGACTGTCTCAATCTGGAAAGAGAAAGGCTGAGAGAGAGGGCAGCTAAGCCACTCAAATAAGAAGGGGTATAAAGAGGGAACCTTAGACTTGCTCTTCAAAAGAAAAAGCATGGGGTACTGCAGAACCTTGAGAATCGAAGTTATCCAAATCTGGATAGAAACTCCTTCTACCCTCCCTGGTTGGATGATCTCAGATGAGTTAACCCCTCTGAGCCTCAGCCTTCCCATCTATACCATCTCAGAAGGCTACTGTGAG